TTAAGACCAAATCAATAGTGGAGGGATTTCTTGCAGAAGAAAAGCATGTTGGGCTGTTTGGATATTGAATAGTGTAATAACCTGCAGAACAATCATCAAACAGAATATTACCATTGGAATTGCTTTGAGCATTATTCCATGAGCGGTGTTTTGCATTAAAATCACCAATAATGAAGAATTTAGACCTATTTTTTCCCTTGATTTGTTTTCCGTCAATCTTGTTTTCCGTGCTGAGCACCAATGCTACCGACGCCAAAAAGGCAGCTCCCACACGTGGACCCTACATATCGACCCATCAACTCATGAACCGGAAACCAACGGCTTTACTTCCCTTGGCGTGATCAGAGATGTTATGCCTCAGAACATCTCGGCGGCGCCGACTGGGATTGAACCCAGGCCTGCTGGGGTGAGAGGTAGTCACGCTTACCACTACACCACTGGCGCCGCTGAATTTAGACATATGACGGGTAAGTTTCTGTAGGTCACCCTTGAGAAAATTCTTTTGCATGCATACGCATTGGAATGGTAAATAGGCAGCTATAAACGTAAATTGTCCAAATTTTGTTTCAACAGAAACTCCCAAAGTTTCAAAAACTTTGGTTTCAAATGAAGAAAGAATTTTATGTTTGATTCGTCTATAAACAATGATGGCAACGCCACCACAGGGTCCATAAAGACGATCATTTCTATAAATGAAATAATTTGCGTCCTTCTTAACCTTCTGGTCAGGTTTAAGGAACGTTTCAGTTATAACGGCAATATGCACGTTATGAACTCACAAAAAGTAAAATAGCTCGTCTTCATTATCTTTAAGAGATCGAGCATTCCAATTTAAAATATTTAATGATTTAAAATCCATTACAGAATTTCAAAGTCATGACAATATTGTTCGCAAATTTTACTCCACTTTGAATAGCATCAAACATGGAGTTAGATTTAAGCATATCAGTAATCATGTCAATTTATGATTTCTGTAAAAATTCCATTTTAGGAGCAGTAATGCTTCCTAAGTCAAAATTATCAAAATTACCGTTAGAATGACGTTGGTTAGTATTTTGATTTCAGCATAGGTAGCTCCTTTTACTCGCTGAACATTCTTAGCAGCGAGGGGAATAGGTATAGATGAAAAATTTGAAACAGGGGTGACATTTGTACCTACGGGTACGAATGTAGAATTTGTTCACTCGCCGACTGTTGTTAACAACAGAGGAATTTGTACCTGTCCGGAAACGTGGAGCGTTTCCTACCTGCACTTGGAAAGAGATTGTAGAATCGCTTAGCGAATCCCAATCCCAATTCCCAAAAATTGGATTTGTGGTTTTCACCACAATTTGAACATTTAATTTTCTTAGGATCGTCTTGTACAGGACAGCCGTCCTTTGCGTGAGAGGAATCACCGCAATTTTTTGTTCCGTGACCCCATCCCTGGCACTTACGACACTGGGTGAGGTTTTGGAAATTTCCTCCAGTCTTCCTGAAGTGTTCCCACTTCACTCGGACATGGAGCATAAGTAAATATTATAAATATACTATATGGTTCTCTTCCAGAATTCCCATGTTTCTGAAAAGACGCATAAGTAATACCTAGAGTCGGTGTATAATAAGTCACGCCAAGAGAAAAACAGTTGAACTCGCATCACGGTTTTCGAAAGATTCCCTTTCTTTTCACTTGGCAACAGAAGACTTCTACATCAACTTCAAATGACTTCTAGCGAGAAAAAAAATAGCGGCTGTAGTAAATCATTATATCAGTGATTTAGTCAAATTATCTCAACCAAAAATAGTAGAAATTCGCATAAAAGATCGTATCACATGACATAAAAGAACGTATCACATGACAATTTATTGCTCACTGCGAGTTTATGATAATTTCTTCGATTATATTATATATTTCATTGCAATACCTTTCGTGGACCTTTCATAGCATCGTAATGTTTGTTTACTCTGCACTTGGACTTGCACAGACTTGGCTTCACTCTTGGCGTGGCTCATTATACACCGACTCTAGTAATACCCTCTTCTGGTGAGAAAGGTGACTAAAAACATTCGTGACCTTATTATTTAAGCGTGTAATCAATTCATAAGTTTAGTCAAATAAAAGGTGTGGCAAACAGTATTAGCTTTCTTATGCATGTTACACGCCTACGCCTACGTCCGGAGGAGGATTACGGTTCCGACAGCGCCATACAAATCAGTGCAACACCAATTACATCAGCTGGATAAGAGCAATAAAGCGATGAAAAATATTTATTGGAGTGTGACACCGATCTGCTAACGTAGACCTTCTTATGAACTGCTTTCTGTCCTTCTTTGAGGTTTTCTAAACTTTTATGAGAACTTCCCCTGTAAATTGTGTCAAATGCATTTTCAGATGGTTGCCACATTGAAATTCACCCTCATGCGGCAGACGCGGTTGACTATTATAACTATAAAGGCTGGTACTCAACAATTCTGTTTGCGTTAGTTGATTACAGGTATGTATGTGTAATGAACACAGCAAAAAAAATATTGACTCTTCTTTATAGATATAGATTCCTCTACACAGCAAAAAAAAATGTAATATCGATCAACGTAATTCAAGCTGACGTATGAAATAATGATGTAATAGCAGAAAAGCAGATACAATATTACATCAATGGATGTAATTTTGTTCACAAAATCGATGTACATCGTACAATGTGATATTACACAACCGATGGATTGACCTGGTTGCAGCAGTTTCGATGTAATATTCAACAACTTTTTTTGCTGTGTATATTAACGTCGGGAACCCAGGCAGATGCAACGATTCATACATTTACGAAAAGTCTCTGTTGAAAAAACAGCTATCGGGATGTGCATTACTGCAGGAGATGTCGTGACCAATATCTGGCGTGAATGCACCAGTGATGATAATGGGTGATTTAGCCTTCAGGTTTTCCACCCAGCTTATGAAACCGTACCCCTATAACGTCGAAAGCAATGCAGTGCAGAAAAACTTTAACTACGCGTTGTCTACATCCCGCAGAGTAGGTAGTTGAAAACGCATTTGGCCACCTCAAAGCTCGATTTCGTCGGATTGGCAAAGGGATTGACAACAGCACGGAGCATGCATCCTCAGTCATCAAAGCATGTTGTGCATTGCACAATTATTTAAATGAGCTAGATGATAACATCGATGCAAAATGGGCACAAGTTCAGATAAAGCACAAAATAGTTCACCTTACTATGTTGACGTTTTCGGCGCAGCATGGTAAAATCAACAACAATATTCATTATACCGCAATTTAGTACTATTTTGTTTTCATTTTTAACCTACGAAATAGTACGGGTTACCATGGGTTTGTTTTCAGTGTACTAACAAAAAATGAAATCATCCGTTAAATTAAAGAGCCTGAATTTATAAAGAGACGACATGTCAAAACTGGAACAATCGATAATCTGTCAAAGTCATAGGAAAAGTCATTCCAATCGAGCAGAAGACCTGTCAAATGGATAAGATGTCGCCTCTTTATAAATTCAGGCTCTTTACGTTAAATGAGTAATCGATGATCAGTGTATGAAGTGATCTGTCTGTTTGCCTGTGATAATAGATAATGGAACACGGCAATGGAAGTAAATAAAAAGTATAATTGCAATAACTTTGAAAAAAAATCATTGATGGCTTTCAATCGCTTTTTTTTTGCCACACTGTACCAAAAACATTAGTTTTAGATTCTTTGTTCAGTTATCTTCCGAAATCATTGAAAATAGGTCTGAAATTCAATTCCATAGCTTCTTTCTTTCTTTTATTTTTTTTCAAAATCCTATATCACAGGTGCTATGCTATGACCTTTTTGTCGGTTTATCTATCTTATGTTAAAATGGCTGAGGAACACGATGGTACTATCAAACCAAATATTTAGTTGCATCCACTTAAAAAAAATCATGTCTTAAGTTTTGAATCGCTAAATTAAATTTAAATTTGGCAACACTTAAAAAAGTTCTCTTGATATTATATTACTAAAAAAAAATTAAAAGGGGGAAACATTTTGAAAAAAACTTTATAACATAATTGATTTTTTTAATTTTTGCAAAATTACTTTTTGTCGGTAAGTGATTCTTACATCAAGGATCGTGTTGCCATCAAATTGAAAATTAAAATACCTACGTTCTATGACAATTGCGTTTTCAAACGTGAACTAAACAAATTTGATAAACTGTACAGAAATAGCAGTTTCAGATTACGATTTCTTGAACTATTTTCTTATGAAAACAGTACCTAATGCTATTTGTAGCTTCATTCTTTTCGCAGATATTAACAAAAGAAAGTAGTGCTTTCTTGAAAATCACTAACAATATAAATTATTCCCCTTGACCAAAGCGCACTCCTTCAGCACCCCCTACATTTTCCAAAATGTCAACAATTGTTGAATTTAGATGCAACAGATAGTTTATTCCTCTTCTGAATGTGTAATTTAACGAGTGATTGACTGTGTAATTTGCTGTGTGCTGAAAAATTATAATTCTCACGTATCACCAAATAAGGTGACGGTAATTAGATTGCAATTATCGTTTGTTGTGGAATATTCAATTGTTTCTGTTATTCCCACATGTATCGTTAATTAATTTTCGGTAGTTTCATAAAAATAATCAAAAACACTAACAATAAAATATCTTCTCCCGTTTTGGTAGACTGAAGGCACAGACAAACAGACATAACATATGGAATATTTTTCAATATAAAACATCGTCGCTAAAATACTACCGCCATCTATTGAGTATACTGTGATGGGTAGAACGCTGAACAGATCGCGATAGTGTGTAAACGTCAAACCCAAGGGTTATTGACTATGCGCGCCACAGGTGGCGGTATTACCAGCTAAAAACATTTAAATTGACCGTTAAATGCGTATTCGAAGAACAAATTGCCAGAGTTTTGTCTGTTTGTCTGTGCTGAAGGTATCCATACTGCCCCGGTGGGGTGTCCATATTGCACCGCTATTGTTACCATGTCAAAATAGCGATATTGAAATGTATACCTGCATTTTGTTGATGGCTTTCCATCCATCCTCGACTCCTTTTATATCAATATATCTGAAAGTTTGAAAGCTTATGACATTATTCTTTTCATACCATAAAAGATATACACTTACTTGGACTGAGCAGGAAGTAAGAGTTGGTCCAAAATCTCGAGATTTCCATTACTATATTTGATTGCTTTCAGACTCATATTAGATGGTGAGTTTCATACGTTTCTGCCGTAAAAAAATGTTATTTATTTTCAAGATTTCCATTGTAAAGAACCTGGGGCCTCATTGCGGAAGTCTAAACAAAGAATTTGTTTGTATGAACGCTTGTATGAACAAGTCGGACGGTTTAACTGCCAACATGAGACCCCTGGTTCACTGAATCTACGTCGATATCTGAATTTAAATAGGTACTCACAAGACAAGACACAACACTTACCGTAGATGGACAGCATCACGCCCGAAACCGGTGGTCAGAAAGGTAAATTTTAATTCATTTTAGTTCGATAAGTATTGTGTCTTGTTTCGCGTCGCGTGTTGTGAGTTTCGTGGAGTTCTTACGTTAGCATAAAACATAAAATAACAAGTTAAATATGACGATAACATAATAAGGTATTTCCGAAGCCGTCATTTACCCTAGTTGAAGATTCCGCCTTCAAGAGGAACATTTTGGTGCTATGAACTCGGTTTGCCGCCAATACTCTTATTTAAATAGAATGTCATCGATACACATGTGCATGGTGGGTATATAAATGGTGATACAGCTTTGTCACTATATAGGCGAGGAGGTCGCGGGGGGGAAAAGTGCGGTTTTAGAGCAAATTGTAAACAAACTCGGTCGCTGTCCCATACAAAAATCCAACATGGCTGAATCATGAATTTGACACATTAGAACACCTATATGTAGTCACCTTGCACATGTGTATAATTGACCACTTTGTCAAGCAGTTTTGGCGTGACTTTCTACCAGCGATTTCACAAAACTGGACCAACTAATTTCTATTTTTTATGAAATGCACAAAAATAATGACTACTTTTCTCGTGGTTCTAGAAGAAAAAAATCTCAAAATAATGTTTTATTTCAAAGTTCGAGTGGTAGTAAACGTCATTTTAACTGCTCGAATGAAGTGGTTAATTAACAAATTCATTCGAGCAGTTGAAATGACGTTTACTATCACTAGAACTTCAAAATAAAACATTCAAAGCTTTTTTTCCTTCTAGAACTATAGGAAAAGTAGCCAAAATTTGAGGTTTTCATTAAAAAATAGTAATTTGCTAGTATAACTTAGTATGAGATTTAGACAAAGGGTTCAACACTTTTTTATCTATATTTCTATTTTTTTACATTTTACATGGAACGATAATGGGGGAAAGCTGTAAAAGACAAAATTTAATTATATATTATGCTTACCTTGCAACCCTATTCCGACAAGCCAGGTCAATCTTATTATCTAGAGATACAGCACCGCAATAGATAAGGTTTTTCCTCTCAACTGTACAGAATTTCTATGTATATTTTAAGAACTAAATGGGATCAAAGTCTGTCTATCACTAAACTAGGATGCAAATTCATAAAATCTCACAATTTATATTGAAATTATATTAACTAAGAATTATTTAGAAATATACCACTTTCAAGATTAGAACGTAATATGTCGCGTGCATCCCTTAGGGTGTATTCTTAAAGCGTGTGCCACCAAGAATAAAACGTCTATATCACTATCAACTTCACTCGGTGTGTACCAAAATAACTACGATTATCAATAACTGCAGAACAGAGTAAAACAGCCGGTGAATATGACTGCAGCACGAATATTAAGAGTAAACAATTTTGACGTTTGCAGTCGGATGTCGCTACTCGCTATCAAGGTGACTACAAATAGGTGTTCTAATGTGTCAAATTCATGATTCAGCCATGTTGGATTTTTGTATGGGACAACGACCGAGTTTGTTTACAATTTGCTCTAAAACCGCACTTTCAACCCCCCCCCCCCCCCCCCCCCCGCGACCTCCTCGCCTATCACACTAAGATTTTTTTACAGTTGATTGTAATTTTTTTACCGAATATGGAACAGCAGAATCGGTTCGGTAATTTTTTGTTGTTTTACCGTATTATGCATTGCACGAATTTTTAGACTTCTGCGAGAAGATTTCAGTGACAGTTATGCTTGCGCACTCACTAAGGCTCTGAACCATTTGGTGGATTATTTTAACTTTTGGTTAAAATTTGACAGATGGAAAGTTATCGATTGACCCTGCTATCCGAGCTTGGTTACTTCTGACAGACAAGAAGTTAAATTTTTACAACTTTGGCTGAGTTCTTCTCGAAAACCGGTCGATCGACAGCACAGGGATTTTCGAACATAGAAAATAACTTTCGAAATGTCACTTTTAACCACGAGTTAAATTTAACTCGGCAAATGGTTCACAGCCTTCACAGCCTAATACTACTTAATCCTTGTCAGACAGTGTAGCAGCAAACCATCAAAACCAAAACAAAACAAAATAAAATTTCTCACGATCTGTCAAATCACAAGCCAACTACACTGCAACTGCCATGTACCCATTAATGGGTAAAAAAGGACCCATTTTTGATGACTATATGAGGCTGTCAAATAATGGGTGAAGTTCAATTTCAAATAATGGGTACTCTTTTACCCATTTCTCAGAGCGCTTCGGGCTAGAATAATGAGTACTTTTTTACTCATTAATGAGTGAAAAGCAACTTAGATAACATCTTCCAGTCCTCGCTTCAGTCGCAAAATGTCTTAACGATGTCGAATGGAAATTGCTCGTTTGAAAAGTAGGTATTTCTTATTTTATTTCTTTCTGCCCACATCTAAAAATCAATCTGAAACTTGCAGGGGCAGAACTAGCCGAATCAGCAAGGAGATCCCAGGAGAGCTTTGGGAGCACCATTTCTTGCACGAACGATGGAAAGACCGCTGGATGGAAAATGGTGAAATAAAGATATAAATATAAATAACGTTTTGTATTCTTAACTATTCATTGTGGCTCTTTCAATGATCCATAAATCATACAAATTCTAAAAGAAAAATCCTGGTTTAAGGATTTCAAAATTGGGTACTTTGTACCCATTTTATAAAGCCAATTATTATTTAAAAATGGGTAAAAAAGTACCCCATGATTTGACGTACAAGGTCTTTACCCATTAATGGGTAAAGACGTTTTACCCATGCATTAAATGAGTTTATCTACTTTACTTCGAAATGGGCACTTTTTCACCCATTAATGGGTACTTTCCAGTTACAGTGTAGGCTATCCAAGACAAGGAGAGGAGGTCTGGCAATGTGCAGCTTGTTGTTTTTTCCTTCGCTCGCATTCGAATGGAACAGTGAGTTTGACGTCACACTTGTTGTTAAATGGTAACAGTAGGGGAATGAAAGAGACTATAAAATTAGCATTGCCCGATCTTTCTCTTTGACATAGCTAGGCTACGTTTGTGTGAGTAAGAGATAGGTGTACGCTGGGTGTGCGAAAATATTCACTGTGCAGAAATTTTCTGCACAGTTGTCTAAGAAGGTGCAAAATGCGCAATACATTCAGTAAAATTATCTTTTCGCTTGAACTGTCAAAATTTACCGAATTCCGCATTGTAAATTTTGCTGAATAATTGGTAATGTTTACAATACCGCACACAGAGTTCAGATTACCAAAGTCGGTAAAATTTTACTGGGTTTTTAAACAGCTGAGTTTTCAGTAATCAATCCAGTAGTTTTTACTTTTACTTAAAACTCCGTAAATTGCAGAATCTCTGAACTGTCAAAAATTACCGTTTAACTCAGTAAAATAATTGCTGACTTTTTCAGTAATTTATTTGTTTGCATTTTTTTTGCTTAGTTTTTCGGTATTTTTATTTTATTTTTTTGGTGAATAAGTCAGTGAATTCATCAAAAAAGTTCCATACAAAGGGAGGATGAAAATTTATGTTTTTTATTAGGGGACTGAGTTTCAAGTTTAACGCTTCATCATGGTGATTCAGCCGGTTGGTTGGTGGCTCTCTCGGTGTGCCGGATTGCATGTCCATGCATGGAGCTAAAAGGCAATGTTAGTGAGTGTTTTTCCTTCAAAATTATTGAAACATCTGGAAGTCGATGCGGGAGTGCATAAACTGCGCAATTCCGTGGTAGTTTCTGCACTCCTGCGTTGGCTTCCAGATGTTTCACTTATTTTCACAAAGGTTTTCTATTATAACACAGCGAATTCCGGGGTCAAGTGCGCGAAGTGATACGGAGCAGGATGATGCAAACAAGTTCACTTACTGGAGAGATCAGCAATTTTGAATTTCATTTGATGATCATTCAGTAAATCATAATGAATACTGAAAACTCGGTACTCTATTTTACTGAGCTGTAGTCATTCCCCGTAATTCTGTTATTTTACGGAAAATTCAGTACGTGCTATTACCGTATTCAGTAGTTAGTCGCAAAAGCTACTGTTTTGGGCAAAAATGGGTCCAAAATTACCCAAAATTCAATATCTCAACAGCACGCTGAATTCCGGCCATAAAAACGACTTTTCTGAAGGGAAATCGTTCGGGGAATCGATTGCACGTGGTCTCATAGACCGGAGAGCCTTGCAGGTATGTGTTTTGGACCATTTTACCCCATTTTCCCCTACTTTTGGAGGAAATATTTTTTCACAGCTCTATTTTTCGTAAAACATAAGCACATTATGCATGGTTTTAGAATACTATGTCTTTAAACAACAGTTCATGATATATTAGGGGAATACGGGGTACACTTTATAGGGGAGTAAGGGGTAAAAGTGAACCCTTGCTAAATTTATTTTAGTTCATAAAAATGTTGAACGATGCGATTGTTTGAATGAACCCAAAGGTTGCATGCAATAATAAGATTTTTTTTTGAAATTTTAAGGTTAATTGGGGTTAAATAAGTTTTAATTTACTGCTATCTGTTTTAAAAGAGTTTTCACTCTATTTGTCTGTATACAGCAAAACGATATAGTGGTTCTCAGAATTTTGTAAAAATTGGTAGTTTTGTTCCTAGACGCAACATATTAGACCCTTATTTTTTATTTTGTCATTAGGGTGACTATTTATATATTAGGGTAGCCAAAAAAAAATTTTTTTTATTTTTTTCAAAAATTTATAACTTTTGAACTGTTTGGCCGATGACGGAACTCAAAATACCAAATGAAAGTTAATTAAAAGTATTTTGAAGAAAAAAATATTAGGATATTAAAAAAAGGAGTTTGTATTAAAAAACATTGATTGTTTTTTTCAATTTTACCCCTTACTCTCCTATAAAGTGTACTCCGTATTCCCCTAATATCTCATGAACTGTTGTTTAAAGACATAGTATTCTTAAACCATGCATAAATTGCTTATGTTTTACAAAAATAGAGCTGTGAAAAAACATTTCCTCCAAAAAGTAGGGGAAAATGGTGTTAAATTGTCCAAAACACATACCTACAAGGCTCTCCGGTCTATGGGACTACGTGCAATCGATTCCCCGGACGATTTCCCTTCGGAAAAGTTGTTTTTCATGGCCGGAATTCAGCGTGCTGTTGAGATATTGAATTTTGGGTAATTTTGAACCCATTTTTGCCCATAGTGCGTTGTTCGGATGTTTTTAAATGTAAACGTTTTCTGATGTTTTCTAATGTAGATGTTTCCTGATGTTAGAAACAAACGTTTTTGGATGTTTTCAGATGTAAAAAACGTTAGAACTAAACGTTTTTTGGATGTTTTTATATGTAAACGTTTTCTGATGTTTTCTAATGTAGAGGTTTCCTGATGTTAGAATCAAACGTTTTTCGGTTGTTTTCGGATGTAAAAAACGTTAGAACTAAACGTTGTTCGGATGTTTTTATATGTAAATGTATTCTGATGTTTTCTAACGTAGATGCCTCCCGATGCTAGAACCAAACTTTTTTGGATGTTTTCGGATGTACACAACGTTAGAACTAAACGTTGTTTGGATGTTTTCAATTGTACTTCGTGTTTGTTGTTCTCTGATGTTTTCAGATGTACAAAACGTTTAAAGTAAACGTTGTTTGAATGTATTCAAATGTAGATGTTTACTGATGTTTTTAGATATACAAAACACTAGAATCTTACTTTTCAAATGCTTTCAATTATATTTACAACACATTAGAATTATAAACATGATCGTGTAAACACTACACACCATTGTTGTTAGATAACATCATAAAAATGCGTACATAACAGTCAATGCTGAAGCTCCCGTTTCCCACCAGTCAGTTAACTGACCTTAGCTAACCTAATATCATTGCGGCAACTCTCTATGCGGCAGGGGAACTATGCCATTAGCGCGCTAAGAGTTGTTAGACCACTGACATAGGCGCCAATTTGTAGGTGACGAGGCACTTGGTGACATTACAGCGAGCTTGACGATTTTTGCAGCATTTTTTTAGCAAACTACCAGTTAAGGTGTGTAGTGTTTACAAGATCTTGTTTCTAGCTCTTATGCTTTGTACAATTGAAAGTATTGAAAAAGTTAATTCTCATGTTTTGCACAACCGAAACCACCAGAAAACATAAAATTGTACAAAAAAAGCCATCCATTCTGGTAGACTATCTCTTAAATGCATAAAGAATAGCCATTGCTTAAGCTCCCGTTTCCCACCAGTCAGTTAACTGACCTTAGCTAACCTAATATCATTGTGGCAACTCTCTATGCGGCAGGGGAACTATGCCATTAGCGCGCTAAGAGTTGTTAGACCACTGACATAGGCGCCTATTCGTGGGTGACGAGGCACTTGGTGACATTACAGCGAGCTTGGCGATTGTTATAGCATTTTTGAGTGAACTACCAGACAATCATGA